GACATAAACGGTTGTCGATCGTGTTCTTTGGATATTTGTTTATCATCTTAGACACGCGTCGAAAACGATTTGCTGTGTCCTTGATCAATCAATTTACTATGTTTGATGTAATTGAGTGCGGATTCATTTTCATCAAAATACGTACGGGGAAATTTACTCAAATTTTCGCGATGCAGCCACCCATTTACTAGGCTATTTGTTGTAGACGCCGATGCGAACGTATTGAAACCAATCAAGTGATTCTGGGATGCATTTCCAGTAAACCTCTTCGCTCTCCTTATGGCCTACCTCCCCCCTATTCATTTCAGAATCTAGTTTGGATGCTGGGCCTAAAAGTCGAGCCGGCCGCGGAACTCTATTTCAAACCGATACCGAACGCGTCAGGTTCCGGGCAAAACTCTGACGGCACGGTCCCCGGATCCGGCGGTGCAACAGGCTTGAGTGTAATCGCTTCGGCAGTGTCTGGAGTCAATGCAAACCAACCGCGTACCTCACTTTTATCCTCCTCGTCTACGGTCTCTTCAGATTTGGCCACATTGTCTAATATGCTATCCTTGCTGTTCACCCAGTCTAGGTGAGTGTATGCCCTATTCCCCAACCCGAGTTCTACCATTTCCCTTACTGTCAGGCAATATCTTCTCCCTCTCTGTAATCCAACAGTGATCTGTTGAAACTTCGAATGATATTTCCCGATGACCTGTCATTTCCCATTCAAAGGATTATCTAACTTGATCCCTACAAGTCTATTCCTCCACATTATTTGACCTGTCGACGCGCAACCTACCGATATACGGCCCCGACCAATGGGAATATTCTCGAATCATAATCCCGGGTCGTCACCATCTCCCGAATACAAAAAATAGTCGTATATTGCAAGACCCAATTCGAAGTCTCAGCTGTACTGCTGCAGATGCAATCAGTGGTGACCAATTAAATATAGTCACCGTTGTTTGTCTGGTTCCTTGAATTCTATGTAGATACAAGAACAGATGTGTTTTGCCTTTTTCTCCATTTCATGTTCACATCTGAGTATATATATATATATATCATCGGATTGCCGGCAAGCATGGTGCCAGCGCCACAACCACACTAACACCAACAGGGGATGGGTGCATTGTTATACAGAACGGAGTGTCTAATACATAAACAGCGGTGAAATTTCCTAGGGACAACGAATAAGCCTAGCTAACGCAGTTTACGGAACAACACATTGGTTCCCCTAAGGTCGGAGACTGAAATCACACCAGTCCAGTATCCGACCAAGTGTTGCGGTTAGCTCACAAGCACGTGCGCATGCATGCATTTGCGGGTTGGGCAACCCAGTGAACTGACCGTTTGTTCCCAAGTAGTTGGTCTTTCTCGAGCACGATACCTCATCATCAGACAGCAGTTGATGATGTAACGTGGGTGTGAAACGGACTGGGTGTAGGGCGACTGGGTGTTTTAATTATTGGCAAAGCCCTTGAAACATAATGAATATTCCTGTCTCGATTAGAATATAGCATTTTTTCATTTTACTTCCTTTAATTGAATGTTCAATGATACATTTTTCAGGAAGGAGGAAGCGGTCAATCAAAGGGCTGCCATTCAACGGACAATGGGGAAA